GGGGAGGGGGGCTTTCCAATGATCAAGAGGGAAACCAGAGACCCACCATGCAGAGCTAAGTATCAGCACCTGGAGAATGTGTATTCTGGGCACTCCAATAAGCAGGAACAAAGAATCACATGTCGCTGAGGTCAAGTTGAGCTAGCGAGACTGCTGTCGGACGATTATCATTGGAGCTTGAGATCGTATTAGAAATTTGTGAATGAAGAGCTCAACCCAGGTTGCCGAAGATGCAGCAATGAAAAGGAGGATCTCTAACATGTTTGAATGTTCACTCACCAGTTTCACTCTCATGAACCCTAAAATAATTAAAGTACAGTTAAGGATCAACTCCTTGAATGAAAAGGAAAGCAATTTTGTGTTTGTAGGGCTATTCACGTAGCCATCTGAGGACATGGACATGTCGATATTCCGGCAAAGGAATTTTTGTCCCTCTTATTTGTGATCAACTGAGAACACTTTCCACTGATAGACGTTAAAACAGAAAATGAGATCAAAAGCTACCCCTCTAGTCTATGGGAAGGAACAATTGAGGAACTACGAAACTACATAATACCTAAGTTGGGTCAACAAAAACCTCTGGATCTCTCCAAAAGAGACGAGGTCATCTTTCTTGTGTATTTCGAAAATATCTCTCTGACTCATAAATACTCTGTGTAGGGAGAGGCAAAAACATCTTGTGTTGGATACGATGGCGACTTTACGACCAGCCACACCCTAATAAACTGTACAGACTTAGGATAAATCGGAGTTAAATAATTTAAATGTAATAATTCAATAAATCTTGTCTTTATCCTTGATCCCAACATATTATCTTTTGATTTTATTTTAAAAACTATTGTTCATTATACCAAAATGGATATAGCGTTGTTTTTAACAAACACTTTGCTACTTTTAAAATGTAAAAAATTAACCATTCTGAAATGCAAAGTAAAGCAGAGCCAAGCAGTGTACTACCGCAAAACAAATAGCTCACCGATAATACTATTATGAACTGATGCAGTTACGATCACCGTAAAACGTTACCCCCCCCCCCCCCCCCAAAAAAAAAAAAAACAACACACAAAAAACCCCCAACAAAACACACACTCACTCACATACACACACACACACACACACACTAACACACACACACACACACACTAACACACACACACACACACACACTAACACACACACAGACACACACATACACACATAAACACACACACATGCGCATAGACACTTACACACACCAAACACACACACACAACAGGAAAAAAACCAAATGTACAAAACCTTGGGATCAAACAGACACGAACAAAATGCTTTAAGGAGTTCGTTAATTACAGTTCAAGGGTCCTTCATCGCTCCACTGCTCCTCCTCCTCACCCACCCCCAGGACACTCTTACATACGGACCTTACAAAACTAAACAAAAGAACACGCGGTGCCTTCAAAAGCAAACAGTCTCTATCAAGTGCAGCAAATTAAATTGGAATTGCGAAGAAAACATTAGCACCACACCTTGTTAGCCCAAAACAAATACAGAGGGGGGTGGTGCGATAAGGCGAAATGGTGCGCACAAAAAAAAAACACGCACCAGCAGAACGGAACCATTTCGGACAACTTCAATGCAAGGAAGGAGTAGATCTATGTGAGTTGTGTTATAGAATGGAAGAATGGAAGTAAAACAGTGCTCGTGGTTGAAGGTTGTTCTTTTTACTTTTAAATGTTGAAATTAATTTTTAAGTTCAACGACAGTATTGTTATTATTATGCCAGTCATTACATTTTTATCGGCAAATTGTGAGTGCCGGCATGGCGGTATGATGTGTTCTTGAGTGCAAAATATTTATTCTTAATTTTGATGTTTGTATTCATTTTTTAAATGACAATTTAAAAAGTTTGAAACAGTGTGTCCCCTGAAAAGAACTTTTCACCGGATAATTTTGACCAACCCTGCACTTGTTGCCGAATTTGGTGGGTAAGATTGCTAGTTTTTGTGGGGGGGGGGGGGGGTTAAAGATTTTTTTTCGGAAGCAGGGAGGGGGGTGTTAAGGACTCCCAGTCAGGTCAGTCTACAAGACTCGGTGCTATCGGATAAGGATGTTAAATGTGGAGGCAGTCGCGTTTAGTATTAAACAGGCTGTCGTTGTCTCAACTGCCGAAGCATGTTCAGGCTACAATTGATGTCTTTCTTTTTTATTCAGAAAACGTGAAATAGGAACAAAATAATAATATAGTAGACACTTTTTTTTAAGCTCCAGAGACAAGACAAACAGTTTCATAGTTTGATGATGACGTTTACGATTAATCACTCTCATATTTTATAACATGGACGTGACTTGGTACCCCATACAGTTACCAGGGATGAGATGAGAGAGAGAGAGAGAGAGAGAGAGAGAGAGAGAGAGAGAGAGAGAGAGAGAGAGAGAGAGAGAGAGAGAAAGAGAGAAAGAGAGAGAGAGATATAGGG